TGTAGTAGAAGTCTTTTATGCAGTGACGATGTGAGGAGCAAGCCCATGGTGGATTACTTGTAACACTGTCTTGGATGTCATCTGCTTGAATAGTAAGTTGGTCAGCCTCAAAGTTTGCTTGGGCTTCAACTTAATACAGAAATTAACAATCATTTGAATACGCCCTGACAAAATAATATTTCAATTGGTTATGCAGTAATCTTAACTCACTGTATGCATCAAGGGACGGACATACGAGAATTACTGCAACAAGAGGCAATCTAAGAGGATTCTCCGTAGGGTGTTCTTGTTCTCAGGGTAGTTTGTCTGATCATGGTGGAGAATCATTGTACAGTGTTTCTTAAGTGAGAGGTGTATTTATTTATTATTATTCCAATTCTTTTTATGTTTAATTTATGTCTGGGAAAAAACTTGAAACACAGTCGTTCTAACATTCATTTTAATAATGGATTTTGTTGCGGTTTTTGTCCCGTGGGTTTTCCCTCCAAATTGGAGGTTTTCGACATACTCAAATGTTGTTGGCTTGGTTGGAATCTGGTAACCTGGGCTTCTATCTGGCAATCTGGTATCGTCATGTTCTTGCTCTTGAACATTATGTTATTTCCTTGCTCATGATCAAGCTTAATGATCACGAACCCGTGACCAACTCAGCTAAAGCTTTTGTTGGTCAAGTTGGCTTTTCATGAATGTATGCTTCATATATATGTGCTCTGGGATGAATCAGGACAAAATAGACATGCGTGATAGCAAGTGGAAGAGTATAGCAGATAGGCTAGCAAGGCTACGATCAGAAAATGACGTTCAAAATCCTACCGCCAGTTGGTCATCTGAACAAGACGTTGCAACCCTGCTCCAATTATTAGCCAAGTATTTGAACTATTGTCATGAATGATCTCAAATTCAGCCACATAATTCAGATCTTGTGCTGTCAAAGCTAAGTAGATGGACGAGTCAATGTTGAACATCAAGGGATGCATAACAAGACTGCATAGTCTAGAAATTAGAAAATGAAACAAACACTGCCATATAAAAGTATGAGCTTCACACTCCTTATTGGATTCTTTACATTTTTGAAGAAGATCATAACCAGCAAAGACAACTTCAAGTGTGCCTTCTGTACTCCCTGCACTCATGCAAAAAGGTTCAATTCCCTAACCTTGTATGCTTTGTTTAAATGAATTCCAAGTTTCCTATGCTTCTGGAAGATCCATTTTGTTATAGGCAACTATGTAAGGTTTCTTAACAAGTTCAGGACTAAACATTTCCAGCTTAAGACATACAGCATCAAACACAGATTCTGGCTGCTGAGGGTAACCATCAACAACATGTATCTACAAAACAGAAAACATATATCAGATTAAGGTCAGCACTCGGTTATAGCTTGAGTTAGATTTTTTCCTATTACCTTCTCT